TCACAATTTCACTTTGGTGACTCACTGAAAATTCACTTATAATTTGCATAAAACTGATTCCTCCCTCAGTGCAAATAAGCAAATCATTTAAAGAAAAGGGGCAGTGACTCAGCAAAATTATAACTTATACACAAGCCCGATATCATCATTCCTACCTCACCCAGTGACACGGGATTTTCTGCAACAACTGCAGTACTCCAAAATAAAAATTAAATAGAATTAAATACAACTTGGCTAGCCTTACTGCACTTTCAAATCTGACAGATATTCTCATTATTAGATAGAGGTTAATGGATGGTCAAAACCTCGTGAAAGCTGGGAACCCAGTCTAACTTCCAATAGCTCTAAATTGCCCCTGCTGAGCTGTCAGGCCACACTGCTGGACCAGTAAGCACTGAGGGGGCAGCAAACAGGAGAGAATGTCAGCTGATGGAACCAGACAGCTCCACCCACACAAGGGTCTGCCTGTACACAGTAGTCCGAGTACCACCTAGCTACCAGATTATTTAACTGATCTTCACTGACACACTAATAAGAATGCAGAAAAACATACTAAATTGCTGTAACTTCAGCAAAATCTTGGGGACTATACTGGCAGTAACTTGAGACTTTTAGAGAATCATAAATTCAGTTGTGCTCATGATAACGTTGTTGAGTATTAAGAATTTAATCTTGGTTGGCAAGGGGGGGGGGTGGTGACACACAAAGCAGGAACTTCATTTTTAAAATGTCCTTTTAACAAATGCACCGCACTTGTGTAACGGGGGGAATTTCACAACAAGGCTAAATAAAAATTGCTAAACCTCAGTACTAGCAGCGGATAGACGTGAGGAGGAGGAAAAAAAAAAAATCAGGCACCATTTAATATTGACACACACTGCCCCTTTAAAGCACCGTCAAATATGAAAACTACATGACGGGTATAATAGCCAATGTATTAGCAGAGCTCCAGGAGTCACGTGCTCCCGATCTGACAGCAGGAGCGATTCGTCTATAACTGGAGGAAATACGCTTCCGAACGAAAATCCAGACAAAGTTGCATGAAAACCTCGCCAGACATCGGACGAAATAAAGTTTCAAAAATTTACCATTTGCGCCTAGTGCGGTTAATTTCTTGCGTGCGGCCTTCGAAAAAGCATCTATAAAGTCAATCAGAAACCATTGTAACGTATACATGTACAAAAGCTCTAAAGTGCCGTCAGAAGTTCTAGCAAAGAAACTGAAACACTGGATTCGAAAGGCGGTCATCCGGCATAAGGAATCTGCATACTGAGAAACACGTCCCCCCCCAGATCAGTAGCCGTCTACATTAGGCTCACTATACATTAACACGTGTAGACCTAGCATGTCATTCTCTGATTTTCATCGTACACAACGCCCGTTTTGATGCTCCCCACCTGAAGAACCTCGTGTTGAACATCAGATCATCCGAAAAAGAATGGCAAGTTACAGGAACTACACATGCATGTCACGTAAACACCAAGGAAAACCGGACAGTACATTTTAACTGAAATCGATTCCATCGAGAGATTCATACGAAGACCACGCCTACGGCCACAACCACACAGAGTACACACGCCTCACGATAAGGTGCCGACGACATTATCAGGCCGATAAAAATGATAGCAAGGCCAAGAAATCCCAATGCCTAGGGGTGGCAAAGGAGAAAGGCCCGAGTCCGAGAAGCAAGCTGCCTCATTCCCAAGCACGTAAAAGAACAAACAACTGTTAGAATATGCTCCAAGTACGATGAATGCTAAACACAGCTTTAGAGGAAGCGGCACCAATTCGACCGAAAAGGCCCGACCACGAGTTATCGGTCGTTTACCATTAAAATCGCCCGTGTCCGCTACAACCACAGTGCACTTCTTCAGCTGGTCTAGCGCAGACTCCATCTTCTGTCGTTTCTCCGGGGCGACTGGGACTGACATGACTGGCGGCGAGCTCGAGCCCTTTTTATACCGGAGCGCGTGAGACCGAGCGCAGCTTCGAATCCGCGAGAAAGCCGAGAACGCGGCCCGTGGCGGCGGCGGCGGCGCGCTTCTGCGTGGGCGGAGTCACATAAAGAGAATGTCTGTGCAGCCAACGGGGAAACGAGCTCTCACCTTCAGATCGCCCACACCTACTGATTCTGGCCAATCGGCAGCAGACTTTACTCATTGAAGGAATTACAAAGTAAATACTTCTCTAATTCTCCGTTGCTAATATTAATTTCTGTTCAGATGAACTTTATTTCGTTTTTGTCTCGAAAACACTAAATAGATCTTGGTTATATATTTGGATCTTAGCTTGTCCGGCTCCACCCAGACCTTACACTATAAAATTTCCAATATGTATTACTTACCAAGTCAGTGACTTGCACTGTAAGCATGAAACAGAGTTTTACCGACGTATATTACCTCCCATTTTAGATAACTGAGAATATTTCATTTAATAGAGGTGATTTTTTTTACTGCTTTCCTATATGCTTTTGATATTTGGTAAAATTTTATTTGAGGAGAAACCAAAATTATATGCGTACTGCAAATAGTAGTATTATACAGATTAAATTCTTCAGGCGGATTTCCTGTTTTATACCCATTTATGAATTATGAGTTTTGATATCTTACTAGACCTATTCAGCTTAAAAACCTCCCTCAAGGGACCTACAGCGAAACTTTTTCGGGGACTTGAACTAACAACATATACTTAGTTAATGATGCCACCGTGAATGGGATATTAGCTTCCTCCTGTTTACTGTGCCGGAAAAATAATACATTCAGTAAGTCAATGACAAACTAGCCCCGTAGAGCATAACTTTCAATCCCCACTAGATGTCAGTATTACTGCGCGATTTGGTTCAAATAAAAATGTTGCGCCGCATGTTGCATTTTTCTCAAATCCTTGCATTTGTCAGAGGAGGGTGGTTACACGATGGCAAGCAGGGAGGGAAAGTCTTCCGTCTGTTGTTTACTTAACTGAATGGTTTAGAAACTAAGATATATTCCTTGGATACCCCTAACTTTGTGGATAACAAGCGGCAAAAGGAGGATTTGAACAGGCGGAGGGAGACACATAGGTAAGGATCTATATATGTTTTTTTTTTTTAAATAAAATAAAAACAAAGCAAACCCACAAAAACGTAGCACGCCAAAAATAATTACAATGTCATGCAGACTGCTCCCATTTCGCCTTGCTTTTACTAGCAAGCCTGTCATGGTGTAAAGTTATTGTACATCACCAATAATAGTCACGAACAGATTTAAAAGTGCGCTACAATGTTGATGTAAAAGATGGGCAACCATCATCCATCAGTAGCACCCAGTAAAGGTCCGTAACATTATTCTTGAAGCAGGTTACAATTCTGGTGTAGGACAGTAGAAGGGAGGTAAAAAGAACTGAAAACGAGGGACCAGCGACAATTTAAAATACATTATGTAACTATATGGTAATATGATGGTTAGGTATTAGTAACATACCAATTTATTGAGGCTGAGCTGGTTTTTAAGTGAAATTCATACATTCTTTATTTTATATAAAATATTTCATTTTTATATAAAATCAGAGTGTATAGCGTTTTCTGGTCTTAATGATAGCGGCAGATCCGAATATGAATTTATCCGCATATTGGTGTAACTGTACTTTTGTTGTATTTAATTTATTGTTAAAGTTCGTTTATTTAGACTTTTGCCACATTGAACAACGTATATACACTTGATCCATTTCACAGGCACATGCGAATTTAAGCATATTTTTATCCACATCTTTAGGCAACTAGGGAAGTGTTTTTTTTAGTTAGAATATCACTTACGCCTGGAAGTTGAGTGGAGTGGCGCGAGAGAAAGGTGCCTTTGTGTATGTACCTGAATATGAAAGGGGGAGAGATTGGGGGAGAGACTGGGGGAGATGGAGGAAGTCGCAAGAACATTTCAACATTCCAGTAGTGCAGAAAATTTTCGGGAAACGTTTTTTTTCTTTTCTTCTTTTTGAAAGACTCATACATGACTTTTACTGGTCTTCGGCACGCCCTCAGTGGGAATAACACATCACATATTGTAGAGCCCTGTGAAAGTGACTGGTGACCACTAAGGGGCAGTGTGTCGCACTACAGCAAAATGTCAGAGACCACATTGCTGTGCTCATCTTTGTTTCTGATAAAATCTTCATGCCTACTAAGCCTGCTGAATATTATGTTTGTGAAGTTTATGAAGCTTTATTTATGGATAATGAAACATTTAATATTAAAGTTAGTCGGGATACATAATTATCAGGCAAGTAATGATGATTAAATTGTTGCAGGTCCCAAAAAATGAACAACTGAATACTAATTTATATTGTTCTCATACCTTTAGATGATTTCCCACGAGGGAATGAAGTGTCAATATTTTATGCAATGTCCTTTATTTTTTGTTTTCCAAGCCGTTAAATGTGTTCTGCAAGTTGATCCATTTGTACTCAGAACCTTAACACAGTATATCTAGGTTCAGGTTTTCTTGTTACATAGCTAGAAACACACTCGTATTTACGATCAGGTTCAGTGGATCTTGTCAGAGTCACACAAACGTTGCTTCTGTATGTGTCTGACTTTGTAATGTTTATTTTTGTCCTGAAGAGGGATGGTGGTCAGTTTCTTTTCCTCTAATTGTTGTTGTTGTAACCTCTCGTGGTTTACAACTGAATATAGGTGTGGTTTTGGCACTTACCATAACAACAGGAACTGCGAGGCCAACTTGGTATTTTGGACACATATTGGGAAACGAAGGGGTTTTTCAGAAAATAAGTTACTTAAATGAGTGCTTCAGTTGCATTTGCAGTGTTTGTTTAGCCAGGGCAAAAACTGCAGTATCTACTTACACACCCTGAAATGTCCTGCTGTTTACACCTGCAGTTCATACCTATAACCTGAGAGCTCTAAACCAGACACTACCCTGATCCACAAGAATCCATAGAAAAGGGAAAGACTGTAGAAATGATACGTGGGGGGGACTGAGAAGAAAGAGGCAAAGGGAGCTTTATTATTCTGGTAAAGAAGAAAGATGAATTTAATTGGCATATCAAATTGTTATCATCTGCCACATCATCATCATCATCATCATCATCATCATCATCATTTTCTGATGCTTTTCTTCGTGAGGGTTGCAGTGGCAGCATGGTGAGCACATTAGACCAGGCGTATTTTTCAATGCCTCAAGCCGCCGCGGAGATATACGTTTGTGTGTCCCGTTTTCTGGGGTCTTCCCGCGGCCTTCACCCAGTGAGACATGCCTGGAATAGTTCCCGTGGGATCCATCCAGGTGGCATCGTTTTAAGACTCCAGAACCACATCAGCTGATTTCTCTCTACCCGTAGGAGTCGTAGCTCTATTTCAAGGTCCCTCCAGATCTCCGACCTTCTCACCCCGTCATGTAGATTGTATCCAGCAATCCAGCAGAGAAACTTTATTCCAGCTGTTTGCACTTACAACTTTTTTTTTCGGTTATTACCCACAGCCCATGACCTTAGATGAGGGTTAGGACATAGACTGGCCGGTAAATCCCGAGTCTCATCTTACAACTTAATTGCTGCTTTACTGCCACAGACCTCTACAGTTACCAAACCGATCCACCTGTCAGTCTCCTGTTCCCTCTAACTATCACTCAGGAACAAGATCCCAAGGTACTTAAACTCCTTCACTAAGGGCAGACTGCCTCCCCCGAACCACGAAAGGAGCAATTCAGTCTTTTCCAAGAGAGTACAGTGACCTTGGATTTGGAGGTGCTGTTTCTCATCCTTGCTGCTTTACGCTTGGATCAAAGTGCTTGCAGGAGATACTAGTCAAACAAGGCAAACGCACAACATTGTCTGCAAATATCGGCAATGTCACGTCTAGCTTCCCATACCAGACATGCTCGCAGATGCAGCTGCGGCCTTGTATCCTGTCCGTGAAAATCACAAAAGAGTGAAGACAAGCCGTGCACTTGATGGAGGCCAAGATCCAATCCAAATGTATTCAGTTTTGTGGCAAGGATGTGGATACAACTCTTTCCCAGAGGTGGAGATTTCAGGTCCAGAGAGTACAAACCAAGACCAAGATTTTGTTTCAACCCATCAGTTGTGTACAAAAATCTTGGTCTGGATTTGAACTCTCTGGGCCTGAAATCTCCACCTCTGCTCTTTCCTCATTCAAACACGGACTGAATTGCATGTAGTTGTAGCCTGAAGATCTGCATGACATGATAATTGAGGCAGGGAAACGACCACTGTGCTAAGGTCACAAACCTTGGAGGGACCAAAGTAGCTGAAATAAACAGGCAGGACAATGAAATTAGCCAGATACTCTGTTCAGTTCAACATTTAAATTTAGAGAAAAGCTAATTCATATGACATTGCCAATGCAGTTTTTGCATAGTTTTGTAAGTTTGACCAGGGAGACAAAATGTGAAAGGAATAAGATATGAATTGTTAATATTAAACAGTATAAAATTATTTCCTGGCCCCATTTTATAGAGCCTTTAAAGCACAAAGGACTATTAAAATCCAAAAAGCACTATTTGCCATCAATGACCTTGAACTCCCATTAGAATTCAGCGGAGCCTCTTGTCAGTGCTGCTCTTTTTTCAAGGTTCTCTTCTGGGCTTCTGCTGAAAAGGGCAATAAGAATTAACATAAAACTGTCAAGCGTTAATTTAATTTAAACACACTTCTGTCGAAAACCTCTTGCTTACATTCCAGACAAGGTGTTTTAAATAGCAATGTTGTGGTTGCTTTTAGAAAGAAATACTCTTCTGTTCTGCCAGTTAAAAGCTCCCTTAAATTCTCCTAAGTGGACCACAGTCTCTCTGACAGCACAGCTCGCTGCATGGGATGGTTAGTATACAGGACAAAACCATTTTCACTTGCCTTTTAGATTTTTAGTTTTTTATAGATTTTTTTTTTTTGCTTTCAGAATGCTGTGGGACAGATATTCCTTTTAAAAAAGCAACACATAAGGTAAGCTGTCCAGGTAAAAATGTTTTTGCAGACAACTTCTTGCCCTCTTTGATAAATGCTTGTCAGAGCTGAGAAAATATGCAGATATTGACGGAAGGTGTTTCTGTTACGCTGGACGTTTTAATGGATTTGTCCTGTAACAGAATGCCTTGAAAGCCTGATGGATTTTCAAATTAGCAGGCGGGTCGGCTGCGGGAGGTCATGGCAGGGTCTGCTGTAGTGTTGAATTCACTATGGTGTACTCTGCAAAGAAGGAACATGCTGGAATTTAACAGGCAGCACGTCTTCGCAGAATGTCTTTGTGTCATTGTTACGGATATAGAATCAGATTTTGACCAAATATAGGATCTGCTGTAAAAACACCGAACTACAGGAAGAGAACGAAACAGGCAAACTTTGTGCTCAAAATAATCATGACTGAGAGACAGGCGAAGCCTCTACCCAAACTCTGTCTTTACTCAGGCACTCAAATACTAGTCCTGTGACCCTGTTATTGGATAAACAGTACTGCAAATACTGTAATCTATTAGAAACAGGTAAAACACCTGTAATTTCAGCTACAGTAGCAAAGATTTGTTAGTATGGTAGTTCGGTTTCTGGTTTTGATAGTTTTATAATTAACGTTTTTGTTATATCCTGCCTTGCGTCCATTATTTCCTGGATAGGCTCCCCGCAACCCGGTATTAGAGAAGCGGCATAGAAAGTGAATGTTTGTTATATGATTTTACAATCATACTTATTAGTAATGCTGTTAGCATTTATTACGTTATTTTTGATGTCGCTTTGACATTACTGCTTGTAAAACTTTCAGAGAGTTCATGAACTCATGACATCATTAATTATCTTTTGGTTATTGCACTCATCCTAATTTAATCGTGATGGTTTTAGAAGAATTTGAGAATTTAATATAGGGCTATATGTGTTGTTAAACATAATTCTTTTACCCTCTCCCATTCAACAATGAAACGTTTTCATTACTCATAAGCATTTAATATAGTTTTCACTTTCGCTTCATCTTCCTCTCTAAGCGTAAGTGCAAATGTATTGCCGTTTAATAGAAGCGTATATTTCCATATGAGCCTTTGCTCTTTTGTCTAACTATAGCCCTTTAGCGATTTATGTTGTTGCCACACATCATCAGCCTTTTAAGCCTCCAGCACGCATCGAAGTGCTGAAACTCCGTGCCATGTCTTTTTCGTCGCCATGGTGTGAAGTATGACAATGTGGCAGCAATCGCAATGGTAGTGTGTTAATCACACCTGCCGTTTGATGGAATTGACAGGGATGGAAATACTGCATAATTCAGGCGTTAATTGTTTGTGATGTGATGTAATGGCACTCTAAATATAGCTGCTCTCAGCTCAACGTATTAAAAACATTTCATGAAAACGCAACACATGTAGTACACATGTCCAGCCACAAGGTGGAAACAGAGCCCCTGTAACACAATTTTTAAAAATGAAATTAATAGGAAAATGAGGACATATCTGTCCCTAATCTCACATCCCTCCTTTGTTGCTGCAGAGGTAACCGATACCTTCTCTGCTCTTCTGTGCTCTTACTTGTGTGACCTCAGCCACGGTCCACCTTCGTCTCACCGATCCGCCGTATCACCCTACCGCTTCGAGCCACGTCCCTGCAGCTGGTCAGAGTCCAGTTAATTAGCGTCTGAATAACCTCAAACCTCTGCGATGCCCTTCGTCCTTTTAGTATTCCTGCAGCTCTCTGGGCAAAAAGCGAGGTTCACACCAAACTAGGCCTTGGGTGGGATGCAGACGTTCAGATTGCTTCTAGATAATTGTTTCATTGAAGACTGTGTCTGGGTGACCTTCTTGGCAAGCAGCTGAAATATCTCAGTGTCCAATCTACAGTTCAACTGATAGCAGCTGGTGAGATCAGGAGATACATTGTCTTATGCAGAATGACGCATGTGCATGCACATGTGCATGCGCGTTAGCCTGCGCTCTGATGGGACCATAAACCTGAGAGTGCGTTCATTTGGTTGCGCGACAGGTTCGCTTGTACCTTGAGCCTGATATCGTCGAGCCCCCCTTGATGATTTAACACCCCTGGAGAGAATTAGTGTGGGAGATGAAAGAAACAGCTGAGGAAGTTCCTTCCTGAGGAAGTTCCTTCCGTACAGAAGCAAGTCACTTACTAGCTATGGAGAAAAACAGGGTACTCTCAGTGTTTAATTACATTTAATGGCAAGGAGTTGCTGTAGCTTATCTGTGCAACGACAGATGTTAGGATATTTGGCCATAAAGCAAAGGATTAAAAAACAGGGTACTAATCTAAATATTTGCATTGGAAACATTAGATGGTTTTGGAAGTTAGTGAAGTTAGTATAGTGCAATATAGAGCATCAAGTCAAATCTGCATACAACATGTACGCACCATAATGATACGTCTCACAGGCTAAAATCAGAAGAGGAATGCTGAGCGTTTTGAGTTTCCTACAAGCACATTTTTCATGTTACTTTACTATGCCCTCATACTGCATAGAGGTACCTGCAAGTAACACACCATTTACTCCTTAAATCCCTTCACCCACACAAAACTGACATTTCAGCACCTGAAGCGCTGAAGGCTTCTAAGCTTTCAAAGTGTTCTATGGAGGAAGACCACTTAAAGTAAGAAGATCAACAGATCCTCGAAAGGGGAAAGAACATCACATTGATAATCCAGGGAGAGAATGAACAAGGTCTGGGGGATTTTCCAATGGCATTGACGCTGCATTGCTTAGATCTTGATAACGAAAAGTTTTTCAGGAATCCCAGAGGTCTCTATCATAGAAATAGCTGTAAATTAATACAAGCTCAAGATAACACATAAAAAATATAAGGCTCTGAAGTTTTAAGTGGCAGGATCAAAATATATGTGTAAGGTCATTAGGGTATAAGTAGAACACTACTGTCCGTGCCAGAAAGAGGTTTCTGCAACTTTGGCCTGACTCGGGTTAAACACTTTAAACCGAATCAGTCCAATGGGCTCGTCTAATTCCTGAAGAAAAAATAGGCTGTGGATTCTCTTACAAATTAGTCCCCGCGTTTTTTTTTTTTTAATTGGCACCTTTCCTGGTATTTGCTGCTCCCCTCCTTGCGTTTCGTTATGTGACTCTGCCTGGTGACGCAGACTAGAGGGTATGCAGATGGGTCCCTGGGTGTCTCTCCGCCGCACAGCCATCCTGGGGAGTCCTTACTGAAAGTAATGTCAGCAATCTGCTCCCTTCACTGCCTGATCTAATAAGACCAATTAAAAAATCACGGAGCGTTACAAAAAAGTGCACAATTAGTGAGTCCCGCTGGGATGTTTACAGTTTGTTCAAGCAGGTTCAGTTTGTGGTAAGAGGTGGATAAGTTCGGGGATGGACTGCTACTAGAGATTTTTAAAATTAGCTTTCCTCTCTGTATCTGACTGAATATTTGATCTAACTTCTGTAAATCAAGTTCCTTAATCTTAGTCTAAAGAACCAACAAGTTGAAAGTCTGCGACTGTGAATCTTTATACTCAACTGGTTGGTTGAAACAAAATCTTGGTCTGGATTTGTACTTTCTGAACCGGAACCTTATACATCTGCAGAGAATCCTGCTGGGCACCAACAGGGAACCGTAGCTGTGGTTTTAATGTCCTGGTTTGATTACCTCTGAAGCCTCGTCTAGGTTTAGAATATCGACTAAGATAACTGTCTCTCTAGGCCAAACAGGCATGCATTACCTCTGAAGCCTGCCTGTGTTTGGGAAATCGGCTAAGCCAGGTGACAGGGAATATTCCCAGAACTTCAGCCAATGTTATTTGAAGGTCTTCTCAAAATTGGCAGAGGACATTCTTACTGTAACATTAATGAAATGTTATTTCTATGCTTTACATTTTAACAAGGGTTCTCTCAAGGTCAGCATGATAACATTATTACTTGAATATCCGTCTAATACAATTAATGTTAAAAAATGTTATTTTATTATAAAATATTGTTTTATAAAATTGCTGTAGGTGTATATTGCAAATACACTGACTTGCCTCGAACCCGTGACTTTACCCGCTGCTCTGTCATGCCATTGTTGTGCTTATGCGTCATTATTCTTAGTTGTAGAAGTAGTAGTTGTAGTAGTGGGATAATGTTCTGGGAATATCAGGAAAACAGGACACTCTGAATGTTTCCATACCTTAAACACAACTTTTAAGTAAACGTTCCTCAAATGAAAGATTGTTAGTGGAGAATTCAGGTATCTGCCTTTCCAGAATTGGCCGTGGATGGCCAGTGGGTAGCAATGTGGTCTCACCTTCAGATTTACGGGATTTTGAATCCTGCTGCAGCTATAAGTGTGTCCTTGTCAGAAATGGACGATTCAGGTCCAGAAAGTCAAAATCCAGACCAAGATTTTGTTTCAACCAATCAGTTGAGCATAAAGAGTTACAGTCACAGAGTATGGGTTGGTAGAAAAAAAATCTTGGTCAGGATTTTTACTTTATAGACCTGAAATGTTCACCTCTGGCTCCCTGGTCACTAATGCAGTATTTCCTGACCTGGTCCTCAGGGACCTCCAGATAGTCCAGGTTCTCGCTCCCTCCCAGCTTCCTGGGCACCGCAAGGTGGCTGACTGTGACTGTGACTGTGAATGTGACCCCAAGCTTGCTTTCTCCTGCATATGTGTCTTATGGAGAGTGAGATGGGGTGAAGTGAAAAGAGAATGTCCCCACGAGGATTAATGAAGAATTACTATTCTGTTCTAAAGCTGGGGAAAGAAAATCCAAGTTCCAAGGCATTTTAATGCTGAGATTTAAAGAAAAGAAAAAAAAACAGGCAGAACGGTTGGACAATCCAAGAGGACCCAGGGCAACCCCATAGTGTGTGTGGGAGACTCATCTTTTAGCTAACAGTAGATAGCAATCTTGTGGCCATCAAGAACGACAGGTCTGTATAGGTGTCACTGTGATAAAGTTATATAAATAACAGAGCAGATATGAAGGTGTGATGACACAGTGTTTAGCACAGTGGCCTCATACATCCAGCGTTCAGGGCTTTGATTCTTGCCCTCAGGTCTATGTGTGGAACCTTTGCACTGCACCTTCACTCGATATCCTCCCCAATCCCAAACACATACAGTTAACCCGAACTGGTGCCTCTAAATTGCCCATAGTGGGCGAATGCAGATGAGTGTGAGTCCCGCGATGGACTGGCATCCCATCCAGGGTGTTTCCCGCCTCGTGCTTCATGAGATCAGCTCCGGGATCATTCCGGCACGGAAAACAGACGGACGGATGGTTGAATCCAAGAAACTAAATACCTGTATGAAGAATCTGTGTCCAACCAACCACAGAAACAACAGTGTGCATTTGTGCAGTTACACAAATGCCTTAATTAAAAAGGAGATATGATGCTCGCACAAGGGCAGTAGTGACACATATTGCTGCCGGTACCAAAAAAACAATGTAACAGCATTTAACCCTGAAGTAGACAAAAGCTGCTGAGAAGTTTAGCTCTGTTGTGCTGGAGGTGTGATAATTGGCCCATATATAGAGGTTTAAAGCTGCAGTACAGCAGTGATGGAGGATGCAGCCAGATGTCCTGAGTCGGGAGTGCAGTGAGCACGCAGAAACAAGCAGGATGAGCCACGCGTCGATCTGCAAGCAGCCACGGCGACTCTCTCATCAGCCTGACAGCAAAGGCGGCTCGGCAGAGGTGACTGGCGCCGTGACGCGTCCCGGTCATGTGGCTGCTGGGACGCCGTCGCTTCTGCATGACTTCTGAAAACTGTTTTAACGAAAGGCTTATGAAACATATTTAGGTTTGTGATTAAGGTAGTGCACTAGCGCAGCTCCACAGAAATGATTTTGCTATAACCTTCGATTCGCTCTGACCTCTAACCGTGTGCTGGATTCACGCAGCTCACGGGCACATGGGTACTGTTTGCACAGCTATTTTGTGGGGATCTCAATGGCGTAGGTTTGGTTTCTGTATTGGTAGCGACCAAATCAGCCCCGAAATCCCCTGGAACACATGGTACTCCAACTGTATTGTTACACACAAGTCCCTGCTGTCCATATTCAAGACTTTGCCCTTGAGAGATCTTCTAAAACTGAGTACGTTTGCACATTTAATTATGATCATTGCCTCTACAGTGGGATTTGTGCATGCATTGGTGAAAGAATTTGTGCATGCATTTGCGCACTAATGTGCGTGCAGGCAACAGCCGTGCACCTCGACACGGCATGTGAGAAGCGCGTGTCTGTGCAATTTGCGCGCGCGTGCGCATGTGTGTGTGTGTGTGTGTCATATGAACGTGCCTCCTGTATGTGGGGGTCTAAACCCCCGTGGGGTAGGTCCAGCCTGCAGTGTGGGGGGGGGGAGGAGTGGGTTTGCGGGAAAAGTGGCTAGAGACTGGAGAGAGGATCGGATGTGGGAACATGTCTCTGTGCTCCTCAGAATGTAGAATGAGAGAGAGGGAGAGGGAGAGAGGGAGAGATAGAAAGAGGGAGAGAGAGGCATGCTGCACTGGTGTTAACTAAAGCCCTGGTTTCATTGTGTGCACTGGGGGGAGTGAGGGAGACAGGGGGAGGGAGAAATACGGGTAGGAGATTAGATAGCATTGGTTCATCAGCACAGGGGGTGTGGCTACCCATTCAATGAGTAGCCCTATCCCCCGCCCCATTAGGATTGGGAATAGTTATCATGTGAGATGAGGGGAGGGGGACTTCTGAGTGTGTGCGTGTGTGTGTGCGCGCGTGTGCATACATTTGAGTGAGCGTGTGTGTGAGACAGCAGGGAGGGGGAGCTCCAGGCATTCAGATAGGTCTACTCCAACACTGCAGTCTTTTCTCTCCTCTGAGGAAGCTGACTACATAGCCAACTCATTATCTGTGGCCATGACCCTGCCCAGAAGCCTGTCCACACCTGCGTGTGGACCGTAAGGAGGAGGAGGACGAGGAAGAGGGCATCTGTCCCCAGCAGGCTCACCGGCGGGACTGGATCGGACCGTACCTGCATTAAGGAGGGGGGGGGGTGGGAGATTGTAGGACTGAGCTACAGGAAAAGTGGAGGCAGGAGCTAGCAAGGGGACAGAGAGAAGGAGAGAAAGAGAGAGGGAGAGAGAGAGAGAAAGACAGCTGAGAAACAAACAGGTTTAGAGGAGGTGGAAGATCTCGGTGAGCAGCTGCAGGATGCACACGCCTCTGCCTTTATGTTTCCAGCGTCTTCATTTCCATTTTTGCTTGATTAACCTTCCCTTCCTCTCTTCTCATCCCTTGCCTCTCTGAAGCTCACTGATTCTGCCGCCCCTGGACAAACTTTGTGTCCCCGGAGGGGTGTGGAGCCTCTGAAGGGAGGCAGTGCCAACTGCTGCCGGAGTGAGGACAGTGTGAGCGAGGAGGTGGGCAGGGTCTGGCTCCCTCCCGCAGCCGTCTCTGAGGGAAGATCTGAGGAAGGCGCGAAGTCCGTTGGCCAGCACTGGTGGAGACCCGCGGGGATTGATAGTTGTCGAAATGTGGAGGTCCTCCTGTTGGCGTGACAGGGAGGAAGTACAAGGAAGTCAAATTATCCAGACTGGGATGGCATGAGGTTGAAGGCTGAAGAATCTGGCAAATAATGTTAAACTAATCCAGGGATTTGTTTGAAACCAGTGTTGCTGTTGGTGAGACGGATCAAGTAGTTTGTAAGAATCCTCTGACTCTTGGTTCGACTGGCACAGTGGCGATCAGCAGTTGTGTTCCGGGGGCCCGGACTGGCATGGGGTCGCGTGACACGCCGAAAATGATCTGAAGTAGCTGGGGTGTCTGTCACTTAGCTGTTGGACCCCAGTTAGCCTTTGGCTGAAGGTGCGCCGTTGGGGACCAGGGCTGGGCTCTGCTAGAGGGAGCGAGGCCCGGTGCCCCTGGCCTTGTTGGGTCAGAGGTTCCCAGAGGAACTCACCTAGAGTAGGGACGCTTTGGCCCCCTGACCTGCCCGACCCGATGCGGCGCTCCAGCACTGACGAGTCCCCCTACCGCCGCAGCCCATCCCTGGACAGCAAGCCTGGCTCCTCCCCCCCAAACTCAGGCTTCCACCGCTATGGCAGCGAATACGAGTACAGCAGCCGGCCCTTCTGCTTCGGGCTCCGTACGACCCCGGGGCCCCAGGCAGCCAAAAGCGGCTACGGCTCCACCAAGGGCAAGAAGTATGTGGTGTTTTACCTGGACTTGTCATTCATTTTCCTTCTAGAGCTCCGTCGCTGCAGGATGGCGGAGGGCTGTCTGAGGGCCCTGCGCTATGGCATGGTCTTGTTCAACCTGCTCTTCTGGGTGAGTACCAGCCTTCCTCATCGCTCAGACCACCCAGGGTCTTCTGCCCTCCCCACCCTGGCCACCTTAATGCTCCTCACCCTCTTCAGCACCCACATGATGGCTAATCAGGAATGTGTGTGTGTGTGTGTGTGTGTGCGCACATGGGTCACTACACAAAAATGTCAGGTCACAGGTGAATGGGCACACCTGGGTCCGACTCTGAGGATGAGTTTGAGTGTGTGTGTCTGTGTAGGTGTGGATATATATAAGTATGTGTGTGTTTGTATGAGTTTCCAGTATGTTTGTATGTATGTGTGGATCTCTGCTGCTTCCCGAACTTGACGATATGCATGAGAGACTGTGACAGACTGTATGCTGAGTGCACTGGAATGGATCGGAACTCGCTGACGACAGAAGAGTCCAACTTCCTGATTCCCACACGCCGGGAATCTAGAGCCAGACATTACTTGTTCATTTGAAACTGGTGGCATATGAAATGTGACGGGGCTCAAAGCAGGACTGGAGGCTGCCAGAGAACCGTCTGGTTCTGTGTGTCTGGTCGTGATGGAAATGACCCCCTCAGCTAGATTTTCTCGGTTGAAATCTGATTTCTCCGTAGGTTAAGCATAAGCTAGAAACCATATTGCAGCATGAATATAAGCTTACTTCACTCTCTTTAACCTTTTTAAAGTGTTAACTACTACCCCTTGCCCAAATTTATTTTTGATGGTAGAGATGGTTAATGCCTGTGTACAGTTGTCAAAAACCATGAGTAATTAATAATCTGTTTTAACTGTAACATTACATTTGTGGGTGTGCAGCCTACCACTTTAACCCAGCTCAGGCTCCTGCATCTCAGGATAATCTCTGACCTCTTAGCTTAACTGAATTTGTGATTATTTATTCTGCACTCGGGGCTCCGTGGTGTTTAACTTGTGCTGGATTGAGACTGGCAGGTTCACTACTGTAGTTATTTCCTGTTGCTGCCAGTCACAGCTGGCAGGTGATATAACTCATGGCATGATATAAGCTGCAGAGCGCAGGAGAAGAGCTTCACTAGTCGACGGCATCCTGGAGTCCCAAAATTCATCCATTATTCATTGCTTTGCGGGATATTGAGACTGTAGGTTTATGTGTTAGGGAAATGGTAAAAAGTGAGACTATCTGGGTATTAATTTCACTGCGGGTGCTCCTCCCTCTTCCCCCCCTCCAGAAAAGAAAAAAACACAACAATATGCATCAGCATTAACATAATATTATTAAGGTAATGTGCTCAAAATCGAATTACACAGGCAAAGCGTTCCACCGTATTAAAGGTGTACTCCTCTATTAACGTGCGGTTCCTGTGCAGGCGCGTGTCCTTTGCTGCATGCTGATTTTGCTGCATCCTGTTGTTAAATGTTTCTTCATGCTTCAGACAGGATCTGTCACTGATATTATCTACGTAGCTGTGTGAGCAGCAGGCGTGCCTGTCTCACCGACTGCATGTTGCTTGCCGTTTCGGATGTTAACATCTCCGCTTGTCTGCTTTACCTGCTACCTGTACTGCCGGATGTTAATGACTCTTCATGTGCTTCTGACAATGTTGGTGTCTATTTGCTCTCTAAAAATCCCATCTGTACCCCAGTGTCTATTTGCAAGGATATTTTTTACCTCTGTTTCGATAATCTGTCCCTTAGAGCAGAGAGGCAGAGAGACTGAATTGTGTATACATGCAGTAAATCTCATCCTAGTAGCAGTTACACCACAGAAAACTGCAGATAGGGACAAATAATTTATTTTTCACTTTGGCAGGTTTGGGCTGTGGGGGGGGGGGGGGGGGCAGAAGGATGTAGCTGACGAGAGGCTAAGCCAAAAGCCATCAAGTGTGTTGGCGGCTTTGATGGCAGCCAAGTCTGCATGGAAGATCCCTGAATCTCATAATGGACCAGACCCAGACCCATCAGACACAGTCTATCCAATGGCCAATTCATCAGTGGTGCAAAGCTCTGTTCCCGGATATTGGATACAAAACATGTCTAAACTATGCAGATAGAATATCAGGCTGTGGAATAATTTGCTTGTAAATATTCAATTTGGCCTTTCACTGGGGCTGTTCTAACAATAAGTAAAAAAATTAATTTATACCTCTAGTCTCAAATTAATAACCTGAGGTTATTGCAGCAAACTGTGGTCAATAAGACATTATTTCCAGTGATAGGGAGAAGGGAGTTCACCCTTTTTCAATTCTGTGGTTCTACATAACATAAAAAAGCATCGTCTGGACCTAACCAGTTTTTTAAATTACTCAAATCTAGCCTCAGATGACGGACAACACATAGCGGATTTCACTGTGTCATTATTTATTCAGCAAAAAGGACACCAGCATGCAGAAGTCATGTGGGAAAAGAGCTAAGTACTCCCCGCCATGTGGGCACACTTAGCTTTGCCTTTTTGTATAAACAACAAATAAACAAACTGGATAGCAAAACTGCAATAAGGCTTCACTGCAGTGGCACTGTATTTGTTCATCCCCATCACACAGTGGGAAAAGGGCCCAAGAATATTTCAAGTGTCAGTGAAAAAATCTTTACAAATATGAGTTATTCCTAGGGATATACATTAAACCAGGACAACCCTGTCCATCTCTGCCTTCCAGTTCAAAGGTGATGTCCTTAAATATTCAAGACCCCACCCAGAAGATTCTACCCATAAATGATTACTGCTTCCATAGGAATTAAACAGATAATAACAGCCATGCACTGCCAAAAAAATGCGCTTGAGAAGCTGGTCAACAGCAACTGTGGTCGCCGCTATGAAAGCAGTATGTTTGGCATTTTGGTGGCCATTCAGGGTTTATCTCAACACCATGCCAAGGAAGAAAGACATCAGCAATAACCTCAGACCAGCGATCACTGAAGCTCATGAATTCGGAAAGGGGTATAAGGCCACGCGTAAACAATTTTAAACCCAAAACTCTACAGCGAGAAGGATTATTTATAAATGGAGAACATTCAACACAGTCAACCAGTCCTTCCAGGAGTGCGTGTCCCAGATAATTCACCTCAAGGTCAGGCCATAAAATGCTTTGAGAAATTGAAAAGAATACATGAACTAAATCAATGGATCTACATGCTTCAGTTAACATGATAAATGTCACATTTCATGACTCTATAATCAGAAACAGACAAGCGGGAATGGTACCAAGGTAAAAGCCCATTACGCTTAGGTTTGCAAAGATTTCTGAGGTGATGTCCTTCAGATGGACAATACAAAAGTGGAGATACTTCGTAATGCACATAAAACACAGTGTTTGGTGGAATCCCAAATAGAATATCACCACCAACATGGTAATTGTCATATAGCACAGTAGTGGAAAGGTAATGGAGTGGACTGGATTTTCAGCCAAAAGACCATGACACCTTATAGTCATTGAGCTGACCATAAATTAGTGTTGTCACAATACCAAAATCATGATACTTGCCTAAAATATTTCAATACTGATACTGAAACAATACCACAGCAAAAAACTAAAACAACAGGAAAATGAATGGATAAATAGGTGACAACACAGAACTTAAAATTATTTGCTTTATTAATTTCTAAAAAATAAACTGAGTTTTTACTAGTAAATATATAATTACAGATCTCTACAATTACATTTTAGATATGTGTAATTTCAGATATCTGCAATGTTATTTTAGAGGTCTGCAATTAAATTCTTACTAGAAAAACTCAATTATGGATTATGTGAGCCTGGAATTCTTACTAGTTAAAATGTATTAACAGATATCTACAATAGGAGTTCTTATTAGTAAGAATTGAATTATAGAGGCGTACAATATGACTTTTTACTAGTGAAAATTGAATTTAGGCTATGAGGGGCAAAAATACAACGGGTGTTAATGGGAATATATGACTAGTAAAAACTGAATTACACAGCTGTTTAACGTGAATTCTTACTAGTAAAAATATAATACTAGTAAGAATTGCACTGTAGATAGCTTGACTTCATATTCTTGAAAAATTGCATTTCTACTAGTAAGAATGTTCTTTTTACTAGTAAGAATTAAGAGTAACGCTTTACATTAACTGCACCTTCATGATGCTTTTATATTGCATTCATAAAACGTTCAGTGCACCTTCATAATGTATTCATAAAATATTCATAAACATCATGTATGTATACCTTAACATCCTAACATCCCTTAACAGCTGTAATATACATGAATAAGAAACATTATATAATAATAACAAACATTATAATTATATAATCATGTAATGTTTGTTATCAAAGTATATTAAAGCTGTTAAGGGATGTTAGGATGTTACGGTATACTTGCATGCTGGTTATGAATGTTCAATGAACGCATTATGAATGCATTATAAAGGTGCACTTACTGTAAAGCGTTACCGAATTAAGTTATGACAAGTAAGCTTTATACTAAAAAAAGACAATTTGGCTTCCCATGCACACATTCACATAACAGTAATAACAGTTTTATTGCCTTGTAAATAGTCTGTAGGGTTTGCAAACTACCCCAATGCATTTGATGTAGCTAATTTTAGGTTTATAATGGAATAATGTAGATTTACCATATGATTTCTTGCTTGAGTCTGAAAGCGTGGGTGTCATGCCAGGTGAGTTAGCAAACCCTGTTAACAAAAAAGGTACAATGTTGAGAAACTTAGACTACAGTTGAATGAGAAATGTTATTTTTCTCACGTGACTTATTAGTGGTTTTTAGTTTACTCTTTAGCACTATTTAGTCTAAATAATAGGCAATTTGACATATTGGAACACAATTGTTTGAGATCTATTTTATTCAAACAGGAAGTGCCACTGAACGAGTCGGTGAACGAATCAGAACGAATCTTAGGTGAACTGAATCAAATGAACTATGTCCAAAAAAAGAGTGATTTTGCTTTTCACTACTCTCCTGTCTGTGAAAGCTGTAGAGTGAAAGAAAATACTCATAAAGTACCGGTACTAATAAATCGGAAAATAGTATTTAAGAGGTGAATCTGAGGTCATCTGC